TTCATTTTATGAAAGGTTACAAATTTGCTAATCATAAGAGTTTTGATGTTGAGATAAATTTTATTTAGTTGAATACATGGTTGAACAATTTAAAAATGTATCTTGTTTTTCCTATTTCAATGACTTAGAAGTTGAAAATCGTTGATAAATATGTATATATTAAATATTGTACATAGAATACAAGTTACAAATATTTGTTTAGTTGTTTAAATTAAAAAAATAATATACTCATATGTAAAAATGATTAAAATTTAAAATGTATGCACTTATAGAAACGCTTGTAAAATATATTTTCTCTGAAGTATGTATAATATCTATTTTAAAAAAAAATGTATTAGTAGTTCTGTCTTTTTTTTTAATTATTATTCATTATTTTATTTAAATATTATTAATTATTAATTTTATTTATTTATTTTATTTTTAATAAATTATAGGTAATTGATAATACTTGATTTCACGTTTGTTTTTAGACATTTTTACTGAGAATGAAAAAGTATGCCCAAAATATCCAAGGTTGGATTTAAAAATTTAAGACTTTTATATTTTATTATTGTGTTTTATGTTTACTATGGAATAAAATAAAATTTGGTATTCTTTTTTTGTTTATTTAAAAAAAAATCATTATTCTTAAGTTACCTTCGACTTCTACTTAACTCATTTCTTTATAATTATGTTCTGTTTGTGCTGCTGTCATCCTCGTATTTTTAATCATGACGTCAAATTTCCTCAATCTCACTATTTCAACAAAGATTCTCCATTCCGTCGGGTTTAATACTAATTTGCTTTCAGTTTTATTTAATGTAGTCATTGTTATTTTGACATGTTCATTATCATATTTTCAATATTTTTACATAATTACATAGAAATCGAACCCTCCGCAAAACATTGAAAAATGTTCATTACCATAGGTCTTGTTTTTTTAATTTTACATGTACATTAATTGTTGAACTGTTAAATTATTTGATAATTTTTAAGCATTTGATTGTTAGTAAAACGTCTGTGGCGTATATGTTGTACATAATTAAAATATTAACGTGTTGTATCTATACGATAACTTAACACACCGATAAGTTTAGTGGATTCGTAAGAAGTGGTGGGGGACGCGTTGTGATGTATTTCTGAAAAAAAATTGTGTAACCTATGACCGATAATGTAATATAATATCTTTATGCATATTCTCAAGGTCATTGTGTGAACGGGATATCGAATGAATTTAATTTGAGTTTTGTAGATAATAACTTTTCGACTTTCGCTCGTTGTTTTGGCATCATCAACGTTAAGTTACATTAAATTCTAGTCATACACAGTGCCATCGATTATAGGGAACATGTAATCCATAGTAATTTTAATTTCTAATTATTAATAATTAATAGACGCCTGTTCAGACGTCTTTGATGACGTTAGCCGTCGCACAAGTACAAATAACTAATAAAAAAATTAATGCAAATAACACCAGCCAGTGTTATCAACTTGCGACACATGCGGTTCAGTACAAGTTATAGGTACAGTATTCCATATTTTTACTCTACGTAAAATTCTCTTTTAATGATAATAAATATATGTGTGTATGAGTGTATAGTTCTTATTTTTTTTAAAAGATAATGTACACGTGTATCGGATAAAAAGTTAGTATTTGTATATAGTGTGTTTCAAAACGGGCATCACAGATACTACGCAACGTAAACACGTACATATATATCGAAATATGTTTTGGGTAAAATTTTTTTTAACATTTTGAATTAATGAATATAGATTTAACGTTAGATGCAGTGTCCTCGGGTGTGAAGTGTAAGCACAAACACGTTTATAATATTTCTCCTCGGCATTAATGTTTAGCCTCTAACTATATGTATAATATTGTGTTATGTTACGCTGCTTTTATTTATGGCTGAAGTGTATCCACATAGTTTATTTTTGGGGTGCATAATGGCCTGTTTCGTGTTGTTGATTTGGTCGTGGGGGTTGCCGATAGTATTTTGAATTTGAATATTGAACCGTTCTCGGAAACCGTTTTATTTTACGTCGAGCAAATGTGATTATATGCGTAAAAAAAATTTGATGATTTTTTTTTGTTGGGGAAAATAATTATTTTTTACGATTAAAAAAAAATAATAACCATAGAGAATAATTTGTTTATCGATCGGACACCAACTCTACAAACTCATACGTGTGTCGATATATTAGGAAGTACCTACGTAACGCCAATTATATTGATCTCACATAATATTATACTTAAATAGTATTACTATAAAAAAAAAAAATTAGTATGTAACGTAACGGATTTAGAACCGGTCTTATCGTTTATTAAAAATTGTTATCTTTCGTATTAGTGTATCGGATGATGGATTACACGAAATTAAATTTACTGGAAATGTACCGTTTTAATATAAGGTTTATAGAATTTAACAAAGGTTATTTCACGAATAATTTGTGGAGTCATGATTTTTAGCAATAAAATGTACATTACTTGAGGATACTTATTTCTGTGAGTCATCTTAATATATATTTATTATTTTCTAACCATATTTTATACGAATTACTAATTAGTTGATCGTTTTTGCACTTATTTACTTGATTTATGTACAATAATTAGATAAATTCCATTATCAGTTTATTCGAAATATAAATTTAAAAGCAATACCAATATTACAATTAAATTGCTGTTCATAGTTCAAATTCGATACTTGATAGTGAGTTGTTGTGATTGTGTAATTTAACTATAGTGGTCTGATCTCATATTTTCATGTGTAATATTTGCTTTTGTTTTATGTGAAAAATGATTTATATCACATTTCATAGAAAATTTCAATAATTAGTCTATCTTAATGAGAACCTAACCTTTAATATTTAATCTAAAACTTAGGTTTCATTAAACACTTCTCAATTTTGGTATAAAAAAAAAAAAATACAGTTTCCGTAACATATTATTTTAAGTGGATCCAAAGACATATTTCATTGAGGTTTAACATTTTTATAGGATTTTCATGGGACATTGATATAGTCGAATTTAATTGCAATTGTATGCTGCTTACAGAATACAAATGTGTCGTACAGTGTTCGACGTGTATATTTAAGTTCTTCATAATTAGCATCGTTAAAACAGCATAAATTAAACGTTCATGTTATATCCATTTTGTATACGTAAAATGTTAAATTATGATTGTTCGAAAACAATTTTCATATTGATATTCGTGCTGTCATTATTTGATGAATTTTTATTCGCTGAAGACAACATTTCAAAATACTGTATTACTTTAGCGATAACTTAAAGTTATTTTAAAGATGAGCGATTCCTAGTGTTTTTTACGTTGTCCGAACAAATCGTTATGATGTAAGATTGAAATTATTGCAATATTTACATATATACGAGCGATTGTGAAAAATATTGATTTTAAAAATCGATATGAAATGAAATAAAAATGTGCTTATGAGATGATGGTACTCCTTTTTCCAAAATGTTTACTGCATTACACCCACGTGCCGGAAACGTGTGCCGTGTGATTTCGTCCTTGGACGGGTATTATTTAGTTGTAGACGTAATAAAATATGAGCCTGTATGTTTGACGACAGGTGTGCTTGTAAATATTATTAAACCACCAGAGGGCGTTCCGTGATTGATCATCAAATATTATTCATTCGGTCCAACCGATGAATTATTATTACACCAACTCGATGATAGTAATAACCATAAATCCGTCGTATTATTTTTCAGTCTAATGTGTGCAGGATGAATCACGTGATTTTGATGTGTGCAGGGTTAGGTTAGACATACACAATGACTATTTCTCATTGTTCACGGATTATGGTCCTATAACTTATATATAAATGTATATTGATTGGTTTAGATGACTCATGTACTTACACATACATTTATTAACTATAAATACACGTCATAAGATGCGGATCGAGTACTATAATATTATCTTCGCGGAGAAATATTCGTTCAGATCCTGGCAATGTGTACCGATATATTGTTTTTATAAGATTTATAGAACAGTAGTATTTTATAATGCTAAAGTAATTATTCCATCGACCATTAAAGTACAGGCATTGTGACGTATGCATTGCAGTTGTATGTTTAAACGTTCTTGGTTTCGTTATATATTTAAAGGGCGATTTCAATAAGAGAGACGTTAGGGTCAAGAGTCTTCCTGCGCCATTTGTTTAGAGGGAAATATAAATAAAAAAAACACTCTTCGCGGTCGTCAAGTTAAATACTCACATTAGAGATGCCCCTTCTTCGATTTTTTTTTCCCCTCGTAACATGTTTCATAATATAGCTGCGAGCGGCGTGTGGTGCTTTTGCATGGTAATATATCCAATTGTTTTTATAACGCTACTATACAAAGTAATCGAGAAGGACCGTTGTCGTATATAATACGGTCATTATTACTGTTATTGGCCACCATTTGATATTTACTTCGTACACATACACCCTATTCAAAACTAAACGATTCTTCTACAGCTGTTGGTTTTATTAGTATAATACTAGCACGCAAATTTGTTTCTCTTTATCATTTGGTACGTCGGAAACTCTTATAGTGATTCACAGGCTGATAGTGTTCGAAAATAGAACGAGCGTCATTCTTGTTGGCTGACAGATATTATTATAGCTATAACAATTTTGATTGTCTCCATAAAAATTAAAATTTTAATTAGCGTCTGCTGTGTATACTGTAATTAATATCGCTCACGGGTTGATTGCTTAATATGTATATTGCAATCATTTAAATTATTAAATCTTTTTTTTATTTTTAAGTATCGAAAGCAAGTATTTTGAGGCCGCCAGTAAACACTGGGCATTGATACTAATAACTCTAAAAATCATTTCATAATATACAATGTAATAATATTAATGCGTTCATATTAGTTTATAAAATTATATATCAATAATCAATTATTTATTCTTATTAATAATAATAATAATAATAATAATTTTACGTGTGTCCTACAAAGTATTTTAACAGGATTGAAGTAACACAATTACATTATGTTTTCAGTTGTGATGAGACCACATGAGGGCAATTACGAGGTCGATTGTCCAGTGGACTCCAATTACTGTGGTGATTCGGACGAGGAAGAAGACCCAGAACGATTGTTAGACGTTTGGCTCGGTGAATTGGACTCGTTAGCCTCGGTAAATATACTGTTGTTTGTACTGATTAATGTGTTATTCAGGTTTTTAATTTTAGGCTATATTTTTTTTTTATTTTGTATGTTTGAATATGCGTTTAATGCAAAATGTAATTCACATTTGTATTATATAAAATACGAGATATTATAGCGTGATCGTCGGCTGTGCTTTTCGAAGTGTAACTAATATTAATAGCGAAATATTAAAAAAGTAAGGCGAGGCGTTTTTTTTTTTTTTCAAATTAAGTTTTATGGCTAAGGCGTGTATGCGACCCTTCGTTCTCGTTCTTGTGGCCGTAGTCCCAAAAGACGCCTTGATAAATGGAAATATTATTACGAGGTTTGTGCGTATAAGCCTGAGTGTAGTGGTCAATGTAATGTAATAATAAAATATATCTTTGGAGATTGCAACGTGACCCATTTATGTACAGGAATCGCGCGTTCTGCGACAACAAAAGCGACCACATGGGATTTTATACAACAACTATGTACATATGATGTTGTATACCTCAAACGCGTATTTTCTTCGTCCACAATATTTTTGTCGGTACTCTTGAGTTCAACAAGTCGTCACGGCACTTCGATCGCGATGGTTAGGTTTACAGTCTGGCAGTACATATATCGTAAATACATTATATACCTACGACGACGATCGCGGCTTCAACGACGAGACCATCAACAGATGGCATGCGCCCTTATTATCGAAGCAGCTGCTTGCCCCGTGTCGACGTGTGTACTGCACGTGTCTCGCGTCCAGCAGGTGGCATACATCTTCCATCGCAGCACCTGGCCAGGTGTTCCGCCATCTGATGTGTTATTCTAATTATTATTATTAACATTAACATCATACCAGTCATATAACACTCAAATCGTGATGTCGGTCAAAATAACTGTGAAAATTAATCAAAGTTTATTGCGAAATCAGTTCAATAAAACCAGATTGAGTTGGTTTTTTAATCAGTTTCCATTATTGTCAATCGAATTCCGGGCATACAATTAAAACGTATGCATAGAAATAGTGCGTATAATTAAGATTTTCGTTTGAAAATCTCTGCTACAGTGTCGGTTTCCAGATTTTATCGTAAATTTACTGTCGGTTCATGGACTATACGATTATAGAAATGCGGTGTATAACGTGAGTACGGGTTTGCTCGGCTCCCCACAATTGTTGTTCACAGCGTGACATTATATGAACTTGATCCCTGTTCGGAAGACATAAATATGTGTTTGCTTCGTTTATAAAGACCCTAAAAACAACCTATAACTTATAATAAGACGTCCCCTCTGTATAACGAACAAAATATTCTTGTAGGCAATACATACTATTATTCCTTTGTGTTTTGAATTATTCCAGCAAAAACGGCGGCGGTGTCGCAGTAATGTAAAACTATATGTGTTGAATGGCCCCCGGGTATACACGTAAATTTAAAAATTAATAAATATTTAGCCAGAATAGAATGATCTGGTTTTCTGAACATTCAATTAAAATCCACCTTTATTAAATACTTGGTGTTTTTACACTAGTATTATGTTAAGAAAGTATGTGCATATGATGTACGTCGTTCAAATCTGACGGTTTCCTAATAACTGGTTTTGATTGTAATTACAATAATATAGAGTTTGTTAAGTGAAATTGAAATACTATGTATTTCTATCTCAAATTAGTATTGACCGAAGAATAAAGTTAAATTGGTTCTACGATTCGCGTTCCACCGTCGAGGAGGTATTATTCTAACAGTTGCGGTGAATTCATTAGTTTCAATGTAACATGTCCTTCGCGAAGTAAAAATAAAAATTCGTTCCGCAGCGTTATGCGCTAAAAATATGGGTTTGTATCGCATGCTTGCACGTCGAGTCGTCGGTTTTTATTTGTACAGCAATTAGTAAATGACCGCACATACCATAGTCGTTACGAAATGTAATATTAGCTCGTCGGGTGTTTCAAAGTGTCGTTTATCGAAACCCTAGTGGACTTCCTAAGGAGTTTCAAAGGATACGAAAACGGTTAAACCGTTGTTGAATCCGTTCCAACAACAGTACGTCACCCGAGCGCGTGTATAGAAACGTGTTCCGAAACCTATTTAAACGTCGATGTGACATTTCGCTTTTTTCTCCTCGCATCGCTTCCTGCGCTCCCCGGGGTCCGTATCCAGTCTGTGTACGCGTGCGGCGATGTCTTTTTGTATAGGGAGATTACGCATCGCACCGTGTCGAAGCGTTTCATCTGGACGGGATTTTTTTTTTTTTTTTTGTTCGTCGAATCGAGCGCCCCGGACCGCGGCAGTGCGTTGCCACGGAAGAACGGCGGCGGGTGGCATGAAATCGAAAACACTAACTTCGACCTCACCGACCGGAGAAGCTGAACGATTCCCTTCAGGAGCAACAACAGCAGAGGCACTTGTCGCGTTCGATATCGCTGCACGATCGCGCGATTTCACTCGGTGTCATAAAACCACCTCGCGGCAATCGGTGCGACACACGCGCGCACGCACGCGCGTCGGCAAGTGAATAAACATGCTCGTGCGCACGTTACGGGCGTAAAAGTCAAACGGGTTTGGTCCGAGTTCGTTGTGCGACGCGCGCGGCGCGGGGATCGCGGTGCGTCCTCCGCCTCGGTGTGGCGCCTGCCGACACGAGTTTCGATTCCTGTTGCGCGCCAGCAGAAATACCGTACGCGTGTGGTGTACTTGACACGTTTTAATGAACAACGACGCCGTCGCCCGCTGCTGTCGGTGGTCGCGGCCATATGGTGCCGTCGAACTGCGCAAAACCATTTTTAAACGGGGGAAAAAAAAACCCGTAATGAAGAAAGAGAGAAAAAAAAAATGTACGAGATTTGCTGTTTATCGAGAAAATCTGTGCGCGCGTGTGTGCCCATAAGGGTGATTATAATAATAATAATAATAATGGGAATAAAGAGAGAAGGAAAAAAAAAAACTCTTGATGGACGCGTGTATACGATACGAAAACGAGTTTCGGTTACCGGACAAGAATCAGATTGAATACCAGCTATACGCAGAACATCTGCTGCCGCCGTGTGTTGCAGCTCATCTCGTCGTCGTCCCGTACGCACGCCGCGTGCACACAGGTATACTTGCTCCCGTAGACATGTGTTGTCGGGCACAGTCTCTCGGAGATTGCACCTGGCGGACCCGAACGTGGCAGCTGTTCCGGGACACCCGTCACGCCGCGGAGGTCTTCGAGGTCTCCGGACGGCGGCCGCGGCGCGCACCCGAAAACCTCAAATCAGTTCTCGACCAGTCGCGGCCCCGTGAACTGCTTGTCGCTCGCCGGTCGTCCGTTCGCCGGAACATACCCCATCGTATCCGGACACGTTATCGCGTTATCGCGTCCGCCGTTCCCGTGTCTTGTACCGCGTCCGGCCGTGGCCGTCATGTTCTCGTGCAAGTCCCGGTACGCGTGCGGCAAGGTCCAGCACAGCGACAGCGACGAGGACAGCAGCTACGGGTTCAAGGTGTCGCCGTCCGCGGTATGCGGCAACAGGACCCGGGCCGTGTTGCAGGCCCGCGGTTACGACGATCCGGACACCGATCACCCGGATTACCACATCTACGGCAACCTGACGTTCGGTTACAAACCGATACTGAAGACGCGTCTATCGAGCGCCGCGAGCTCGATGCGCAGGCGCGCGCCCGTCAAGCGCACGGTC